TTGTGTAGTATTTAAAAAGAAAAACTTCAAAATATGATCATGTTGGCCTCAGAGGCCAAAAAGTTTTCAGAAAAAAGGGAAAAAGGGAAAAAAAATTGAAAACGGAAAAAAAAAAGTAAATAGAAAAAACCGGGTGAGGCATCGGCGATGTTACCAGATGTTGTTAATTTTGGCAAACTTCACCCCTTTCCTATCTCGGTAAGTATTTCGGTAAAAATTTTTTTTTTTTAGCCATAATGTTAAAAAAAAAAAATTTTTTCATCAGAATTTTTTTTTTTTTTTTTTTTAAATTTTGGCCCACCCTGAGAACAGTTTTGGAGAGGGCCTGTCGACCCTCAAAGGGTTTAAACCATTCCCGAGGCTCATCGTTAGCCGAATTAAATTTCCAAAAGAAATAATGGAAATCCCATTAATCCTTCCAGACACCCCAAAATTAAAAAAAAAAAAAAAAAATAGAAATATAATTTCCCTAAAAGAAAAAATGAGACATGCAAATAAATACTAAATTTTTTTAAAATGCCTTACCTTTATTGAAGAGATTGATGAGTTACGAACACTTTTTTTTGAAACACTGGGATTTTCAAGTATACAGAGAAAGGCTTCACTTTTCAACCCCATAGCACTCAAAGAGATTAGCCCGTCTTTCATGGCTTTTTGTCCCCGGGAGTGCCTTTTCCTCCTTAGTATTGTAGGTCCTGTTTGGCATTTTCTTCCAGAACAGGCCTGTTTCATCACAATTAAACACTTGTTGGGGTTGGAATTTTTCAGCTTTCACCATGCCTTATTGCACTGTGTATGCCACTACAATAATTAAATCTCTCAAACCAACCTTTGCTGGCCTTAAAATTCACCAATATGAGCACTAGTTCCAGACATTTTTTCTGTTCACCTGGGTGTTAGTCGACTGTTGTGGGTCACATCCTGGGAGACATGATTAAGGACCCCAATGGAAATAAGTTAGACAGTCCTCGATGATGCACTGGCTTTCTTGGGTTATCCTGAGTGGCTAACCATCTGGGGCTAATTGTTTCACGGTAATTGTTTCCCGTTAAGCCACACCAACAACACACACTCCACATCTTCGAGTAGTACAGCTGATGGTGATGCAGCAACAGCTGACTGTGGTGCAGCAACAGCTGACGGTGGTGCAGCAGCAGCTGACGGTGGTGCAGCAGCAGCTGACGGTGGTGCATCAACAGCTGACGGTGGTGCATCAACAGCTGACCGTGGTGCAGCAACAGCTGACCGTGGTGCAGCAACAGCTGACCGTGGTGCAGCAACAGCTGACCGTGGTGCAGCAGCAGCTGACCGTGGTGCAGCAGCAGCTGACCGTGGTGCAGCAGCAGCTGACCGTGGTGCAGCAGCAGCTGACCGTGGTTCAGCAGCAGCTGACCGTGGTTCAGCAGCAGCTGACCGTGGTGCCAGCAGCAGCTGACCGTGGTTCAGCAGCAGCTGACCGTGGTTCAGCAGCAGCTGACCGTGGTTCAGCAGCAGTGACCGTGGTTCAGCAGCAGCTGACCGGGGTTCAGCAGCAGAGACCGTGGTTCAGCAGCAGCTGACCGTGGTTCAGCAGCAGCTGACCGTGGTTCAGCAGCAGCTGACCGTGGTTCAGCAGCACTGACCGGGGTTTCCCAGCAGCAGCTGACCGTGGTTCAGCAGCAGCTGACCGGGTTCAGCAACAGCTGACCGTGGTTCACAACACTGACCGTGGTTCAGCAACAGCTGACCGTGGTTCAGCAACAGCTGACCGTGGTTCAGCAACAGCTGACCGGGGTTCAGCAACAGCTGCCGTGGTTCAGCAACACTGACCGTGGTTCAGCAAACAGCTGACCGTGGTTCAGCAACAGCTGGACCGTGGTTCAGCAACAGCGGGACCGTGGTTCAGCAACAGCTACCGTGGTTTCAGCAACAGCTGGAACCGTGGGTTCAGCAAGCTGACCGGGTTCAGAAACAGTGAACCGTGGTTCAGCAACAGCTGACCGTGGTTCAGCAACAGCTGACCGTGGTTCAGCAACAGCTGACCGTGGTTCGCAACAGCTGACCGTGGGTTCAGCAACAGCTGACCGTGGTTCAGCAACAGCTGCCCGGGGGTTCGGGCAACAGCTGACCGTGGTTCAGCAACAGCTGACCGGGGGTTCAGCAACAGCTGACCGGGGTTTCAGCAGCAGCTGACCGTGGTGCAGCAGCAGCTGACCGTGGTGCAGCAGCAGCTGACCGTGGTGCAGCAGCAGCTGACCGTGGTGCAGCAGCAGCTGACCGGGGTTTGCAGCAGCAGCTAAACCGTGGTACGACAGTTACAGTGGACCCTCAACCAGCGATGGCATCGATTAACGATAAATCTGACTAGCGATACATTTAAACGCCAAAAATTTTGCCTCAACTAGCGCTTAAAAACCCGACCAGCGCTATTCGTTCCATACCATATGCGTCCACTTTGGCCTGAGCGCGCCTCACTTGTCCCTTGGTGCCAGTGTTTACAAGCCAGCCAGCCACTGCGGTCGCTTCCAAACATACAACAACTGGAACATTTCATATTATCACAGCCTTTGTAGTGATTGCACCTGCAAAAAATAAGTCACCATGGGCCCCAAGAAAGCTTCAATGCCAACCCTACAGCAAAAAGGGTGAGAATTACTATGGAGATGAAGAAAAAGATCATTGCTAAGTATGAAAGTGGAGTGCGTGTCTCTAAAACGGCAATCAAGGAAGCTGTTCTTGCCAAAGGTGCAGCTGCTGCTGCACCACAGTCAGCTGTTGTTGTTGCTGCACCACCATCAGCTGCATTAAATCGAAGATGTGGAGAAAGTGTTGTTGGTGTGGCTTAACGTGAAACAATTACCGAGAAACGATTAACCCCGGAGGGTCAGGTTGTATAATAAACTCCAATCAACCATCACTACTATTGTGGGTAAGAAGCCAAAGGTGCAGCTGCTGCTGCACCACAGTCAGCTGTTGTTGTTGCTGCACCACCATCAGCTGTATTACTCGAAGAAGTGGAGAGAGTGTTGTTGGTGTGGCTTAACGTGAAACAATTACCGAGAAACGATTAACCCCGGAGGGTTAGCCACCCAGGATAACTTCAAGAAAGTCAGTGCATCATCGAGGACTGTCTAACTTATTTCCATTGGGGGTCCTTAATCTTGTCCCCCAGGATGCGACCCACAACAGTTGACTAACACCCAGGTGAACAGGAAAAAATGCCTGGAACTAGTGCTCATATTGGTGAGGTTAGTGGGGAGGATGTGGAAGAGTTGGTGGAGGAGGACAATGACGAACTAACCACTGATGAGCTGCTAGAGCATCTTCAACAGTAAGAGGCCACACCTGAGGAAACTGCTTCGGAGGAGGGGAGAGAGAAATTGAAGTTGCCTACTTCAAAGATTAAGGAAATGTGTGCAATGTGGCTTAAAGTGCAAACCTTTTTTGATGAAAATCACCCTCACACAGCTATTGCAAGCCGTGCTGGTGACTATTACACTGACAATGTTGTGAAACACTTTAGGATAAAGGAACGAGAGGTACAGGCCTCTATGGACAGATATGTTGTGCGACAGAAGTCCGGTGACTCTGAAGCTGGTCCTAGTGGCATTAAAAGAAGCGAAGTAACCCCAGAAAAAGACTTGCTACCTCAAGTGCTAATGGAAGGGGATTCTCCTTCTAAACACTAACAAGATCAACGGTCTCCCCTCCTCCCATCCCATCAATCATCACCAGATCTTCAATAAAGGTAAGTGTCATGTAACTGTGCATGTCTTCTTCAGTTTGTGTGTATTAAAATTAATATTTCATGTGGTAAAAATTTTTTTTTTCAATACTTTGGGGTGTCTTGCACGGATTAATTTGATTTCCATTATTTCTTATGGGGAAAATTAACTTGACTAACGATTATTTCGATTAACGATGAGCTCTCAGGAACGGATTAATATCGCTGGTTGAGGGTCCACTGTACATATTTCTCACTCTTTTTACCACAGGGTTGGCACCAGAAGCTTTCTTTGGGCCCATGGTGGCTTATTTAGCAGTTACAAGCACTATAAACAATGGAATAATACAAAATGTATCGAATGTATGCATGCAACCTGCCACCCTGGCTTGTAAACAATGACAGCAGGGCAGCTGAAGCGCTCAGGCTGAACGAATAGGTTTGGAAGGAATCACGTTGGGCGAGTTTTTTATTGTGAGGCGAGGCAAAATTTTTGCGCTCAAATGCTTCGTATGGCGGATTTAACGTAACGCGATGCGTTTGTAAGGTGGGGATCCACTGTATATGTTAGTGTAAACTTATAAATGTATATAAATGCCAGATAAGTGGACAAAATGGCATTCTGCTTTCCAGCAGTAGCCTGGAACCTAACTTGCTGTATAAGTGGGGCCCTACTGTACTAACAATAGTTACTCTTCACTTCTGAAATATTTTTGTCGATATAATAATCATTAGTGATGAACATCAATAAACGAGTTGCAGTAAATCATCCATACACTACACTCCCTGCAATCTCATACTGTAAGTACTGTATGCACAAAGGCATGAATCCTGTGACCCAGAACTAAAATCTAGAAAAATTAGAAGGCTCTTTCAGTGCTGATATAATCTATTCAGTTTTGCTCTATGCATAACAGAAGCAGAGTTTTAGGACACTACAGCACAATATATCAGTACAATAAGTAAGTACAGCACAGTACCCATCTGCATTAAAAAATGAATAGTTTAGGTAAAGAAGTTCTAAACAACTGAAAAAAGTTAGTAATAAGAATACAATTAAGAATACTTGTAATGTCACTGACTGTACTATACATAAAATACTTGAATTATTGCATCTTCCTCATATAATTTCTCATACCACAATATAAATGGTAGTATAGGCATCACTTAATTTAAAAAATTTCACTCGTTTTTCAGACTTATGATAAAACAATACTGTATCTATTTTTAGGTTTCGGTGCCATGTTTTATTGGAATTTTATATGGTTGTTATTAATGAAGAATATTACAGGCTTACCTTTTACTTTTCTGGGACAGTGTCTTGCTGTTAAAGTAAGAAGCTGACCAAGTAGTGGTTCAAGTTTTTGAGTCAGTTCTTCAAAAGATGGACGGGATGCAGGTTCAATCTGTCAACATTTATTTATAACTTAGGAAAAACAGTGCCCAAATAACACAGTACATGTACAGTAAAACAGTTGAAAAATCAAATTTTTATAAAAGCTGATTCTGCATCTCATGTATGCTGCACCTGCTTTTTGCTTTTTGCTAAAGAAGGATAATGAATTTTTTTAAATAGTTTTACAATATATAAAAGCTGTTTTTAAGTATTTTAAGAAAAAAAAATACAGTGCACCCTCGGTTATCAGCTGTTCTGGATATCGGCCAACTCGGTTATCGCCCATTTTTTTGGCCGAAATTTTATTCCGGTTATCAGTCGTTATTTCGCTTTTCGGCCATATTGGAAGCATCCACCCGCCCGTGCATTCGTGAGTCAGCCTGGCTATGTCTGTGGGCGAGTGAGGAAACTTCTTATTTATTTATTTATTTATTATAAATTTGTGCACACATACAGAGGTACAAAAAAATACAGATAAGAGCAGTATGCCAAAGCCACTTATACTATGCATAGCATTACGGGCTGGCTTAAAATTAACTTAAGATTAACTAAGCAATGATGAAGTCAGTGATAAAACATTAATGTAAACAGATTACTATAAAGCACAAGTGCTCATTCATCCAAACATTTTGCTATAATCCATTGTTTTTTGTGGTTATTGATTGAGTGCAACTGCAAAATAAGCAACCATGGCCCCAAAGAAAGTTCCTAGTAAAGTTCCTTTGGTAAACCTTAGTGCAATTACAACTGAGAGTCTTGTCCCTTTTTTATATCATTAGATTAAACTCAGTTGTACTATAGCTCATTCTAGCTCAATACATAGTCAGTACCAAAGTCATTATATTAGACCATAGTGTAATTACTAGTGAGAGCCTGGTGCTATTTTTAATTTGTATTTCTACATTATTAGATTAAACCTAGTTGTACTATTGCTCACTCTAGGTCAATACATAGACTATACCAAAGTCATTACATTAGACCTTAGTGCAATTACAAGTGAGAGTCTTGTGCTATTTTTAAATTGTATTTATGATTACGCTAATATCAACACTACAGCTTATTTGCCTATCAAATTGAGCTAATGTGACATAAGAAACAATATAAATAACATAAAACATGTTTAAATACTCCAGACTGAATAATATTTGGCATAACACCGTAGCAGTTCGACAGAGTTTAATGAAGAGAAATGTAAACAAATACATTCTCCTATCCTTGTCTTGGTGGCTTATATTAGAGAAAACGGAGTATAGCACAGGGCTATGAATACACTCGTACTCCACCAATAAACATGAAACAAAAAAGTTATTTTCATTCTCTATATTATCAACACATAGCAGCATATGTGTAGAGAAGCCATAGGATTAACCCACCAAAAAAAGCCAACGTGGCTTTATTTTTAGTACCTGCTTGGATTAGCCAACAGTTGACCCCCGCATAACCGATGGCCAAATCACATAGCATTTTTTTTCCGCATAACGATTACTTTTTAATCGCAAAATATTTTTGCCGCGCATACGATTAAAAACCCGCTTACCCGATTTTGCGTCCGAGACGCGTCCAATGTGCCCCTCACCAGACCTCACAATGTGCACCGCCCCGGTCCCCATTGTGTTACCAGCCAGCCTCCGCGGTAAACATCCGAAGCTAGACAACTACTCGGAATATTTCGTATTATTACAGTATTTTCGTGCTGTTTCTGGAAAATAAGTGACCATGGCCTCCAAGAAAGCTTCATAGTGCCAACCCTACACACACAAAGGTAAGAATTACTATAGAATTGAAGAACGAGATAATTTGATAAGTATGAAAGTGGAGTGCGTATAGCCGACCTAGTCAAGCTTACAAGAAACCCCAATCAAACGCATCGCTACTATTTGGGCACCAGAAAGACAATCAAGGAAGCTGTTCTTGCCAAAGGTTCAACTGTGTTTTCTAAACAAAGATTCGCAAATGAATGGGAAGTATGTTGAGAGACTCTTATTGGTGTGGATAAATGAAAAACAGATAGCAGGAGATAGCATCTCTCAAGCGATCAATGTTGAAAAGGCTAGAAGTTGCATGGAACGGATTTAATTAAAAAAATGCTGCAACTAGTGGATATGTGAAGTGAATTTAAGGCCAGCAAAGGTTGGTTTGAGAGATTTAAAGCTAGTGGCATCCATAGTGCGGATAAGGCATGGTGAGGCCAGCCAGTTCGGACCAACATCAGCGGCTGAAAAATATGTGCAGGATTCAAGGAGTACATAGAAACTGATGGACTGAAACCTGAACAAGTGTTTAATTGTGATGAAAACAGCTGTTCTGGAAGAAAATGCCAAGCAGGACCTACTGTACTCAGGAGAAATGGCAACCCCAGGACATATCCTATGAAAGACAGGCTTACTTTGTTGATGTGTGCCAATGCTACTGGTGAATTGCAAAGTGAAGCCTTTTAATTATGTATCACTCTGAAACTCCTCAAGCGTTCAGGTGCAAAAGAATTTCCTCAAGATAATTTTGTGTGTGCTGTGAGGGCAAACAGTAATCATGGGTCACTAGGGAATTTTCTATAACTGGTTACACCATGCATTTGCCCCCAATGTGAAAAAATACCTAACTGAAAAGAATTAGAACTTAAGTGCCCTCCTGGTGCTAGACAATGCCCCTGTCATCCTACAGACGTGGCAGAGCGAACTTATAGGGGACATGAGCTTCATTAATGTGACGTTTTTGCCGTCGCTAATACCACACCCTCTCCTGCAGCCCATGGACAGACAAGCAGTTATTTCAACTTCAGAGAAACTGTAACAACAAAAGCTCTTTTGAAAGGGTGCTTTGTAATGACCTCCAAAACACACTGACTCTAAGAAGAGTTTGGAGAGAATCACTTTAATATCCTCAATAGTGTAAACCTTATAGTGTAAGGCTTGGGAGAGGAAGTGACTAAGAGGACCTTGAACCTGCTTGGAAGAAACTGTGGGCAGAAGTGTAGACAAAAGGATTTTGAAGGGTTTGAGGCTAACCCCTGAGAATCCTGTGCCAGTGAGGAAATCCATTGTGGCCATTGGAAAAGTCCTTGGGGTGGAGGTTTAGTGGGGAGAGATGTGGAAGAGTTGTGGAGGAGGACAATGGAAAACTAACCACTGATGATCTGATAGATCAACTTCAAGAGCAAGAGGCCGAGAACCAGAGGAAACTGGTTCAAGGAGGGGAGAGAGACATTGAAGAAGTTGCCCTACTACAAAGATAAAGGAAATCTTGCTAATTGGCTTGAAGTGCAAAACCTTCATGGAATGAAAATCACCCTCACAACAAGCTACTTGCAAGCCCGTGCTGTGTTGGATTATTACACTGACAATGTTGTGAAACACTTTAGGCAAGTCATAAAGGAACGAGAGTACAGGCCACTATGGACATATATCTTGTGCGAAAGAAGTCCAGTAGACTCTGAAGCTGGCCCTAGTGGGCATTAAAAAGACGAGGGAAGTAACCCCAAAAAGGACTTGACTACCTCAAAGTCCTAATGGAAGGGGATTCCCTCTAAACACTAACACACACTCATCCCCTTCCTCCATCCCCATCAATCATCACCAGATCTTCAATAAAAGTAAGTGCATTTAATTGTGCATGCCTTTTTCAGTTTGTGTGTATTAAAATTAACATTTCATGTGTAAAAAAAAATTTTTTTCATACTTTTGGGCGTCTTGCACGGATTAATTTTATTTCCATTATTTCTTATGGGGAAAATTCATTCGCATAACATGTATTTCGCATAACGATGAGCCCTCTTGCACGATTAAAATCGTTAATCGGGGGACCACTTATATGATTTTGGTAAATTATTCGATTTCCCAGCCAGGGTAAAACATTAGGCGTTGTTTTCTTTACACCTGTTGTCTATGTTTACCCATCAGTAAATGGGTACCTGGGTGCTAGCCGACTAGTGTGGGTGTTATCCGGGACACTGGCCTAATTTTCTTGAAATACTCAGCATAACAAGTGCCTTTCTATACAGTAGTATGTCACTCGTATTGTAATATGACCCCGAGTAGTGATAGTCCTTTTTAGTATGATAATATAGATGTTACCTTCATTATAGAATAAAAAAAGTATTATAACATTTAATATTATAATAATAAGGTAAAAGGACCAATGGAAATAAGTCACTCTGTCTGACTTTTTGGGTTATTCCTAGGTTCTGCTACAACAACTGCTACGTATGATAATTTCTATTGTTAACTGTAATTGTGTATACCTGAAATAAACCTTTACTGATTCATCTAGGCTGATACCTGTACTGTTACATGTAGTAAAATAAATATATTATTATTATATTATTCTTTCTTTCTTTCAACACACGGCCGTATCCCACCGAGCAAGGGTGGCCCAAAAAGAAAAAACGAAAGTTTTCTCCGTTACATTTAGTAATATATACAGGATAAGGGGTTTACTAGCCCCTTGCTCCCGGCATTTTAAGTTGCCTCTTACAACATACATGGCGTACGGAGGAAGAATTCTGTTCCACTTCCCCATGGAGATAAGAGGAAATATACAGAACAAGAACAAAAGAAAATAGGGAAGAAAACCCAAGGGTATGTATATATAAACTTCATGACATGTACATGTAAACGTGTAGTGTGACCTAAGTGTAAGTAAAGTAGCAAGACGTACCTGAAATCTTGCATGCATGAGACAGAAAAAAGGACACCAGCAATCCTACCATCCTGTAAAAACAATTACATGGCTTTCTTTTTACACTCACTTGGCAGGACGGTAGTACCTCCCAGGGGTGGTTGCTGTCTACCACCTGACTACCATTATTATTATTATTTTTTATTATTTTATAATCACACTGGCCCGATTCCCACCAAGCAGGGTGTGCCCGAAAAAGAAAAATTTCACGCATCATTCACGTATCCCATCACTGTCCCTTGCCCAGAAGGTGCTTTACACTACAGTTTTTAAAACTGCAACATTAACACCCCTCCTTCAGAGTGCAAGGCACTGTACCTTCCGCATCTTCCAGGA